TACTCCCGCGGCTCCAAGCCTCTAACATATTTATCCTCCAAACACCCCTCTGGGGCAGGGCGGTTGTTGCTCTCACCAGTTTACAGATGGGAAACTGTGATACTGAGAGGGAGAGTGATTTGCCCAAGGTCACGCAAGAAATCTGTAGCAAAACAAGGAATAACACATCAGTCTAGCAACCCTGGGGGGATTAACCTACCCCCAGCCAGGACATCCTTCTTGTCTCCTTCCTCTTGCAAGTCAGCAGAGCTATACCAACTTGTACCAGCAGAAATTCTTTGAGATCCTTTGAGAATACAGTCTTCTGTTTATAGGTGGATGAAGTATTAGTTAAATATCCTCTTTTCACGTTCCCGATATGCAGACATCCAAAAGCCAATCTTAAAAGCATGAAATATGCACCCTTCAAAACTTGTATAAAATCAGTGATTCCTTTAAATCATATCCTAGCTCTTTTGTTTGTCTATCTGTATTTCTTACATTCTCCAGCATCTCTAGCTGCAGGTCTTGGCAAAGAGTGCCCACCATGCACTTCTGTTGGAGGTCTAGATAGAGCAGCAGTGTTAGAGAAATGTGAACCTGTGATCTGGCTTAGAGTCTTGGCAATCATGAGTCCTTTAGTTCGTGTACCAAATATGTTTGCTTTTACTTCAACAGACTGACATAGGATCTTAAGGAACATTAACTGCAGTGTTCCTGTGGATCTGTGATTGATTGCAATACTGCTCTTATATTAATGTTTCTTATGTGCTGTGGAATGAAGAAATGCAAGGCAAGCATGATCCTTCACATGAAAAGTTTGTCTTCCAAATAACATATGATAAATAAGAAAGGATAAAGAAAGAGTGGGGCAGTTGATCTCGAGAACATAGACATAAGGTAATTAATAATGGGTTGGAAACTTGCCCAGTTTGTGGGAGCCATGAATTCAGGCAAGGAAGCTAAGCTGTGCCAGTCTCACTAGAGGGGAAAGATGGTGTAATCAGGTGAGAGAAAGCAGTGCCAAATGCACATTACTGCAGCATGGCTCCACGTGTCTCACCGCACCAGCTAAAAAAATCAGCCATGCATGTGAAGCCTCTTGAACAGCTCTCTGCTATTGCTTGATGAAGCAGTGACTGCAGCTCTGTTCCTGAATACACACAGAAAACAGATAAAAATTTCTAGTATGCAGCAAGTCTAGAAGTGAGATGGTAAAAACAGCAATTTCTGATCAAAGAAAAAGTTGTGTATCATTTTCATACCTTTTTTTAATTTATTTTTTTTTTGCTTATGCACTTTTCCAGTAAGAAGCAAACGCGTTGTATTACATAGGGGTACCTCCTATTCCTTCCTGCTATGTGCTTCAAAACCCCAGGCTGCAGTATTGCTGTTTCAGGACTGCAGTTCAGCAGAGGGAGGCAGTGTCAGAAGAAAAGCACCATGGTTTCTTGGGGCTGGGGGGAGGCCCAAACCACTAGTTCCAGTTCCTCTGCCTGCCTTTCCTCCCTATGATTATTCTCTCCCCACAGTTTCTAGGAGGCTGCTTCAGGAAGTCCAGGCCCCCACTGTACTCTTCTGTTTCTGCAGGCAGTTGTGGCTTCAGCTGCTGCATAAGGCGATGACTCTGCAGGTTTCTCCTTCCTGTCCTCGCAGTCTATCAACCCCTCCATCAAGAGGGGACACTGAAGCTGGCAGTTGGTGCAGCTGCAGGGAGCTCCCAGCCAGCCATGGTTACTGGGTGGCATCTTTCAGAGGAAAGGAGAAGTACACAGGAAGGCCTGCCCAGCTGTGCAATAGGCACAACCTTCCTTGTAAAAACAAAAGTTTTCAGTTTTTCAAGTGCCCCAAGGGATTTTCCTCCACCTTCCTACAGGAGAGATGGGGCAAACACTTGTCTCAGTCGTGGTGCAGCCCTCCCAGCACACTAACAGTAGGTTTTCTGTTCAAAAGACCTGTGTACAATTAGGCAAGGCAAGCTTCACAGCTGTCTAGCCCACTGACCCAAGATGGGACAACATAGTTAAAAGAAGTAGAGATTGATACAGAGTCAGCTTTTACTGGGAAAGATCTTGCTGGAGGTAGAAAAAGGTTGAACTCTGTTCTAAGAGCTGTAGGTTAATCTCCAACCAAGGAGGAACTGAGATCAGGGCTATAAGAACAATATTATTTGAGTACTTGAGTCTGAAATGCCCATTTTCAAAACTCACTAGGGTCTGGCATCTATCATTTGCAGTTCTCCTCCGATGTCCAGGCATCAAAGGAAAGCAGAGACTGGTCTTTGTGAAATGGATGACTGTCACTGTGGGAAGGATGATTCCCAGCACAGCTGACCCAGTGAGTGTGGATGTGCACGCAAGTGACTTCACCTATTTGCACCTCTGCATTAGCATCACTAAATGGACACAACAGCTAGGTCTGGAGGTGACACAACCCTGAATCTGCTTGTACTTGAAACCTACAGAAGAAAGGTATCTCAGAAACTGCAGACAGCACTGTAATAGTAAACACCAAAGTGAGTAAGTTCACTCTTTAAGGAACTGGTAAACTGTCTTTCCCAAGTGAGAACTGGGTTTTTTCCATTTACATGCTTTCCCTCTTCTCTGCCCTCCTGGAAGTATCAATTATTAAGGAGGTGTAAGTCAATTTAGAAATAAAAACTCTAACAAACCATTACACTCTCATTAATTGACAGCCCAAACTTCCTTTGCTCTATGCAACCATGTGTTTAGTGCCAGATACAAAGCAACTAAAGCCAGAGGAAGTCTCTAGAATATAGGCTACTCGACTGCTCACAATTATTAATGAATTCACGACTTTTCAGTGGGATGGGTCAGTGTTCTTAACCCCATTTTACAGACAAGGATATTGAGGAAGAGAGAGAGGAAGTGACTCACTGAAAAACACCCTGTATTAGAAACAGGAATAGGACTCAGACCTCATGACTCCCATTCCTGAGTCTTAATCACTAGGAGATCGAAGCTGTGTAGCTAAGACTGGAAGGTGGGAAGGGTGCGGATCTTCTTTGAGTCAAAACGAAATGCAAGTTTCCTGGAACGGAGCCACCACTAATTTCAATAAATTTACTTAGATCTTGAGCTTTGGGATGGCATGAGCAGCTGTGAGTCATCTTGGCCAGTCAAAAGAATAATTAATTGTTGTGGGCAAATCTCAAAAGGTTTAGGGGGTCATGTAAGGTAAGCAGCTCAGCTTATCCTTGACTGCTCTTTTCTGCTGTGCAGACTATGCTGGAGACATTCACCAGAACACTTACCCCATGTTTTCCTTATGCCAGATCTATCCATCTGTTGCGCACACTTTCTGCCTTGTCTTATATTTTGATTACAAACTAATCAGTGCTGGGATTGTTTCTTTTTAGAGGTTTTTATAGCACCTGCCGTGGCACAGCTCTGATCCATATAAGGATAAAGCAGCCTCAGACATACAACCGTCACCCAAAAGGTAATAAAAGGCTGAAAAGTTTGGCTCCTGAGATTTCTTGTGCTTCCTGATTAGAGCAGGAGTGGTTTCCTTGCGGTGCTTTGATAGTTTTGCTCCCAGCACAACTCACAACCAGGAAGTACAAGAATGCAGTGCAATGATAGCCAGAATTTGCAGAACAGCTCAGCATGCACGATCAGAAGCGGATTTGCAAAAGAGCTCAGCTCTCATTTAAGAACCAAAACCAGTATCTAGATTTTCAAAACTGCCAAGCTGGCGGGCTACAGTACTCTTTAGCAAATCCAGCCCTCATGGCAGCTTCTGAGCATTTGAGGATCTGGCTCAGCTCTTCAGGATGAAATGGAACCAGAGCTATGTGATAAGTCTCTCCTGGATTTGGTGTTGAGTATTCTAATTTCTTTTCATGCATTTTAGCTCCTGTCAGTATGGCAGTATAAACCATGTAAAAAAGAGTTGTGTTCTTCAACATCTGTTCATTCCAAACAAAAATTCCAAACAAAACCAGAAGAAGAAAGATGTTTGGTTTTTTTTCCCGTTCTCCTGCCCTGAAATCTCATCTTTTCTCTAGCCCCAGTCCTTAGGCAGCACCCGAGGTCAGTGATTGTGCTTCAGAATTCTAAGGGTCATATCCAGGAAAAAGAAAATCCCATAGAAAAAAAAGCGCTAGCTCTGCAGTTTCCTCTCCACTGTCCCAACTTAATATCTCATCTTAATCTCAGGGAGGCAAGCAGGATGGATTGTCACTTAGGACTCCAGCTTTCTCCTTGAATGAGACAGGACAGCTCTAACTGGCCTACCAACCGCCTGCTCAGCTCCATCCCTCCTTCACCCCACAGTAGGGCACCAAGGAACATCTGGCTGTGGAGGAGGCCTAGGAGGTCCTTCTGTCTCATGCCAAAAGCCATCAAGGCTCCTTGCAAGTATTGACAGGCTGTCAGCAACTGCTCTGTGCTCTCTGGCATGTTTGCAGAACACTACTCTTGGCATTTAATTACCAGGCTGATACCTAATAGCACATCTCTGAGCTGGGTTGGCACAGCAGCACTATGGGGAAAGGGGATGGAGGAGAGGAAGGAAGAGAATTCCCCGCTGATCTCCAAAATCAACAGATCAGGATCTAATGCACAGGGATAACAACTCAACTGCTGGCGATGTCTCACAGAACTGGATAAGAATTCACTGCTGAAAATTATTTGTGTCTCAAAAGTGACAGTGTCCTTGAAACTCAAGAAACTTACTGGCTTCTTAGACACAGAAGGAATCCTGACTGATCCTGGCCAAGTAAGCTTGCCCCATAAGGTATCACGGAGCACAGGTTTCAGGATGTGGAGTCTTCTGACAGCTTCTCCACGACAGCAGACTGGTCAGGGAGCCATGCAGCTGGCAATATCATGTTAGTGGGAAAGTTCCCATTGCAGATTTGGCTCAGAAAGTGACCTCTTGCTTTTGTGTACTTTTTGCTTCCCATCTGGTCTAGTATGACTGCTCTCTTTCTGTTCCAGAGCAAAGTCAAACAGCCAAACTATTGGTGGTTTTAAATGATTTTTTTTTTTCCCTAGAGCAGAGGCACTCCACAGCCCACATTGTGCTCAGGGGAGGTGACGACTAACATACCTGTGGAAGCCCTGAGAACCTCACTGAGAGCCGATAGGCATGCAGGAATTTAGAAGCCCTGAAGCCATGTCTGAACCAGGAACTTCAGAGCACAGACTTTCAGGTTCAGTTTCATTTTGAAATGTCTGCAACGAAACATTTTGATATTTAAAAATCATTGTAATTTATTTTCCCTTCCATGGGAAATTTCAAATATGTCACTTTTTTTGCACTGAAATAGAACACATCACCCTCCCTCATAAACACACATTTTCCAGGAATTTCCCCATTTTTTCAAATTCCAGGATTGCCTATAAAGCAGACGTGCCGATTTTCAACCCTCTCTAGTGCCATTACTCCACAGACTTTTTTTTCCAATGATGATTACATTTTAAAGAAAGAGTTTATAATCGTCTGCCAAAAAAAAAAAAAAAAAAAAAAAAAAAAAGCTTCTTTTAGGTTCCAAGTCTGGAGAAAGGTTCCCTTTTGTTCCTCCTGAGGAGATATGTTGCCTGGTGCTGACTGGGAGCAGAGACACTCCTGCATTCCCAGCCCTGACACTAACTGCCCCTGTGGCCCCAGGCTAATCACTTAAATGCTCTGGCTCAGGCTCCCCATTGGTAAAACAGAGATAATGATACTTACCATCTTCTTCACAGGGGTGTTTGCAGAGAAATAATTAGTTTGTCTCTGTAAAGCACTTTGAAGATAAAAAAACACAATACAATTGATAATAATTATTGCTATGCAGACCGGTTCTCCCCTCCCTACCGTCTTATTGGTGCAGAAAGGTAAGAAGAGCCCAAAACTGAACTAAGTAAAGTAAAAAGATGCTATTTCAGCAAAAGTGCATCTAAGCCAAAGCCATAAGCCAGCCACCCCAAAATTCTGTCAGAGTCAAATCTGGCTCAGTGATCCTAGCTTTAACTTGCCAAACTTAGATGTACCACTGCTTGGAAAAGAGATTTGTTTTCCACTGTCTCTTTTTCTCCAGTCTCTCGCAGTTTTTAATAGCATTCTGTGCCTTCAAAAGCTTCCACCAGTCCCTGATACCTCTGCCTTTCCCGGCATGGGGCAGCAGCTTATTATACACCAGTTTGTTACAGCCTTTGCTTCAAAGACCCACAGTTCAAAGGGTCCTAGAAGCGTTGAACAGGTCAGCGCTTTAATGCTGATCCACACATCTTTAGAGGGCAGTAACGTAGCCACAGTTTTGTTCCTGGGGGAAACAGAGAACAACTGGTTTGTAGAGTTCCCTTTGGCCTTAAAACTGGCCAAAGAATTGGATGCTCCTGGTGGCAAAGATCAAGCGTCAAGGAACCCTGTCGTGGCTGAGCATGTAGGGCTGTGATGTAGTGAATGAGTGAAAATGTGCCTTTATGAGTCACTGACTTGTTCCTAATGGGAGCTGCAGAGGAACAGAGGAAGGAAAAAGGGAGAGGGGAGTAAAAGAGAAAAAAGTATCAGAAAGGATAAAACAATCTAAACTACTTCTTTCCATGCACATATTTTTCAAGATACATGATGGAGTGATGGCATACCTAGAGATTATGAAAGGAGACCAGAGAAAATACTACCTCAAATATACCTCCTCTTCTCTCATCTTTGGGGGGAGGAAAGATATGGAATATTTGCTAAACTATTTTTCCCTTGCACATAGACTTGAACTTCCTGCACAGAGGTTCAAGGTCTTCTGCAAAAGGCCCTTCTTGCTGCATTTATGGCCCGAGAGGAAGCAAGAAAAAGCAGAAATCGTCCTGTTCTGCTGAGATCCCAAAGACCCTTTTCCAAACAGTTTGAAGAAGTAGTGTTTGAGTCACTGGATAAATCTTTAGGCTGAATCCAAATACTGAAACTAAATGCCAACTCTTCCTTTCTGATATCAGCCAAAGTGGAAGAAGCCATTTTTGCAATGAGTATTTTTTATTGTCGTATTGTCTCTGATGTGAATCAGATATGGTATCAAGGCCTGGAAGAGCTTTGCTATTACCAGCTTTATATGCATATATATATAAACCAGTTTTAATCAAATGTAACATGCATAAGGGCAGAATTTGCCCTGCAGTATCTAGTTGGGAGATTAATATTAGCAGATTGCTTTGAGTAACAGAAACAGAGACGCTTCAAAGGGGAAAAGAAAAGGTGGGGGGTGTTTCTGTCTGCAAGGAATTCACCTTGGGAAGAGCTGTGTGCTACAGCACATGAATGAAATGCGTGACTGAAATGTATCACAAACCAACTGTCTGAGAAAGCTACAGCATCTCACCAGTGTGCTTTTTTGCAAAGCATCATTTAACTACAGACGTTTCTAGATTGTAGACATTTAGACTGTAGACATCTCTGGACAATAACAAAAAGACTATTTTGATGGTTAAAGTGTTGTATGGGTCTTGCATTTGGAAGGGCTAAATTTCCTACCATGATACAGAAAATTGGGTTCGAACAGAACATGCTCCATCCTAGCTGCTTTGATTTCAGTTGATCATATCAAAATCCAGTGCACAAATAGGACACAATTCATTTCTTACTTCTGTTGTTTTATCTCCATGCTTCCAGTCCCTGGGGGAAGGGTGTTTTCATTCACTGCAAAGCTGGTACAGCAACAGCCTGAACACCAGGACCTACCAGCCTCAGCCTGCAAAGGTGAGCACTTACACTTCTGAAAGGCTTTTTTTTTTTTTTTTTGCCATTATCATCCAAATCCAAGTCTATGCTCAGAGACCTGAATTTGTGTTTTCAGAGCTGTGGGAACTGCTGTAAAAACCTACATTTTTTTGTAAGCATACAGGGCTACTGAAAGCACACAAAGTGCACAGGTGCCCACTATAAACAGGTATTTCATTTGAGAAGGGGGATGTTGCATTTGACCTGAACTATGAAAGAATAGTTCTCCTTAGTCTCAGGTGAAACAGTCTGTAAAGCTGCCTTGTCTATAAAGCCTTATCCTTCTGCTGAGTTTGCCTGAGGCTCAGCCATTCTTGCACCTTTAGAAAAAGATTCAGAAATATGTTTCCCTGCTTCTTTTTCCAGGCCTGGGTGGCATGATCTCTTAATGCACCTCCCTGTTTACGTTAACAAAATGGAAAGCAGCTTTGTTTATGGAAAAGATCTATTTTTGTTGTACTTTTTTTCTCTCAACTAAACTGACTTTCATCCAGGATTGTGTTTTGCTTTGGGAAAAGAAATGTGCTGCAATTCTTAGCCCTAGTTTGAAAGTCGGGTCAAGAGGAAAGGGGGAAATCCTGATCATATTATTTAATTTTGTAGGATTACACTGCAGCCTGGAAATCTACAAGAGCAGAAGAGTTAATATATAACACCATGATTTGTGTCCCTGCGCAATTATATTTGCTATTCTCTCACTTCCATTTAGACAATCCAGACCAGGAACAGAATCAGTATTTCCATTTTATGGGCAGGAGGACAGCGTGTGCAATCCAGAGCAGAAAGAAATTTCAGAAGTCACTGTGCTCCCCTGAGGATAAATCATATAATTGTGTCTTTCAGCTTCTTCAGACTTTGATCTTCAGAGAGATCAAACAGGGTCAGGCCACAGATAGCAGATTTTGAATGAAAACCCAGACAGGGCTTTGTGACGTGGAGATGATGTGGAGAGGTGAGGAGCACAGCATGCATTATTCTCCCTCTGCAGATATTACTGAGTACTTGAAAACACATTCATACACTGTTCATTGCTGAAAGCTGAAGGGTCCCACTCTTGACTCAGAAATCAAATTAAGGTCTGACCAGTCCTCCTCATGAAAGTCTGCTGGGCAAAATTTGGCACTTAAGGCTTACTTTCTAATTTTAGCTGTAGTTCTGATTCGGGACATGAATTTTGGTAATTGTCTGCATCTTCTTCAAGGAAACTGAGCTCCTACTTTCCTGCTTTATGGAAATGGGCTCTTGAACGTGTGGTGTAGAGTTGAAGGTTGCATAAATTATGGACATCACTTTATAACACTTAATAACTCAAGGTGAAGCCTATATATAATATAACCTTGTAACACAGTCCCTGAAGATGTTTCAGAAACATCCCTATGGATTCCCTACCATGGATGTGGTACTTAGGGATGTGGTTTAGTGGGCAATATTGGTGCTAGAGGGATGGCTGCACCTAGGTCTTTTCCAACCTTGACGATCCTATGATTCCATGATTCTAATCTATTCTTAACCTTCTGTGACACAGGGAAAAGTCTTTATCCCAATTCCCATTCTAAAAATTTAAATATGTATGCATATTTTATGGAAAACAGTGGTGGAACATTGCCTACTGTGAAGGTTTTCTGATTTTCCACTGTAAAATATTTGTACACATGCGTGTGTTTGTATAATGTATACAGACACAACTGCATTTAAAACCTACTGTGGTAATGCGTTGTTATTTTAATTCTAAAGCAAAGCACTCAAAAATGAAATAAATTATAGACTTGAGGTGGGCCATGTAACTTCAGTTCAGCCCTACTGTGCATATGGCTTTATGACACATCCAGTTAGCATATGATCACACACCGCTTTCATTCCACATTTCCCATTTCCAAAGCCTTGTGCAAATCAGTCCTGGTTGCATCCTTCAGAATAACAGCCATAGAAATTTTTAAATACAAACTGTTTAAGTGACCTAAACACACGTTTGCTTCTACTCTCTAATAATAATATAATAGCCAGGGTATGCACTATTAAAAAGGATAGTGAACAATAATAATAATCCTTAATAAGTCATAAGAAATGGTAAAGTAGATAATGAGGTGCCAGTTTTCACAGTTAGCTGTGACATGTTTCTGAAGTTGATGTGAGAAAATCCATAGGAGGAGATGAAAATGACCATCTCTCTTGATTTATTCTCACTTTTGATGTTTTTTCCTAACATCAAATTTGTGAACTGGAACAATGGAGCTTAACCATGTACCAGTACATGTCTGGTGCAAAGAAACCTTTCCAAAATGCAAAATCAATTGAAGAACAAGAAGCAATAAGATATCTGCTAGTTTCTGGCTGATTTCCCATCTGACACTGTAAAATCATCCAAGACTATTTGTTTAATTTGAAATAGAATAGTGAACCATGCCATTCTGGAACCCCTCCTAGCACATATGCATATACACAGACACAGCAACAAGCTCCCTACCCACAGCCATCTGTTCATATGTGCCAATTGGAGTAAACCACTAGTATCACTCAACAAGCAGCTCAGTCTAACTTCCTTCTCATATACTTGGCTTTTGTAGAAGCTCACGATCTTTGGGAATGTACAGCAGGGAGAACAGGCATTCTGGTCTGAGGTGCAGTCTTTTCCACTGCTACACATCCACATCAAAGCCTGTGCCCTTCGGTAACAACTGTCATTATTGTCACTGACATCTCTTCTTCTTACAACATAGAGCAGCTGTGGAATCAACCTGGAAATGACTGGCATTATGACCTTCTCGGGACGATTGAAAGAGTTTATTTCATGTTATCTATCTGCAAGTATGTTTTGAATCACCATTTATTTTAAAATCTTCCCAATTTCCCATCACTAAAGTGGAAATACTCACAAGAGTGGATTTTCAAGAGATAACACTGTTCAGTTCTACCATTACACACTTCATTCCCTGTGATTTCACTGCTGGTCATCCCCTATTTAACACTTCAATGAAGCTTCCTGCTCTTGAAACTGTAAACTCTTTGGGACAGAGATGATTTTATTGCACTGCAGTATTCAGTATGCAGCACAGCAAGGCCCTGAACACAACTACTGCACTATATTAAAGAAAAAGGGCAAAATTACAGTGAAAAAGTCTGGCACTCAAACAGATCCCTTCTCTCAACTTGTACCTGAAGCAGATGTTGGTGGTATGTTTTTGTGTGAGGCTTCCCTGATTTACACCCTTGTAAAAATCAGTATTCAGAGCTCCTTTTCATGTGCAACTTTCATCTAAGTAAAGGAGATACTGCATATCAAAGGCAGCTGTACCAGCCACTTTAGATTTATTAGTAAATCCATTGAAAAAACATTTCCAGTGAAATAAATCTCAGCCTGCTGACTTCCTCCTATTCTTTACTTATCCTCTTATTGATTTTTGTCTCGGAGATCTAAACCTCTCAATTTGTTTTATGAGACACTTGTCGAACAGATGACAAGAAAAAAGACAGTGCTGGATATTTTCCTTAGCAGTTTTAAGTAGAAATAAAGAGCATTTCTTTGAAATTAGTCTTGCTCTTGTGACACAGGAGGAAGAATGTATCTGACAAGCCCTTTAGAAGGCTTTAGCTCAGTGCACAGAGAAAGCTCACTGGCTGCCACTGACACAGTTTCGTGGCAGCAATGCCCCAGCAGTTCATTGACAAGTTTGACATGTAAACAAGCTGTTGCTAAAAATATTTAACCTGGGGGACCCTGGCTAGTTCAAGGGGCTCGTAATGGAATACAAATCCTTTCACCTCTAGGCATCTGTTCAAAGCTACACCATTGACTGAGAGTCATTACCGTCTCATGGCTGTTCAGAGGAATGAGTAGGTGGGCTCTGCTCTGTGTCCTGTGAGCAAGTTGTTGTATTACTAAGCCACAAGGTGAATCTCAACAGAAAGCTGAGGCCAGGTCCCTTCCAGCACTGGAGCAGCAGCTCCACATACGAAATTGTCCTCAGCTTCCTCTGGAGCTCCCCTCTCAGGTCGTGACACCTGGAAGGCAGCTGTGTCCTTCTAAAACTCCTCTCCTGCTGCTACTGCTGCTCAAGAGGTGAGAGAAGATGGAGGCGCACACCCATTCCCATTCTGCTCCTGCCACCTGTCCCACAGTCCAAACCTATCCCAGCCAAGGAACACTTCTTTTGGTTTAGAATCATAGAATGAATCATAAAATGGCTTGGGTTGGAAGGGACCTCAGAGATCATCTACTTCCAACCCCTGCCAGGGGCAGCAGTGCCAACCACAGCATCAGGGTGCAGCTCAGGCCTGTTCCTCTCAGCCTGGCAGGAGCCTGCCTGCAGTGGGGAGGGATATCAGAGAAAGAGAATTTGCATTCCCCCACATTTTAAATTGCTGTTATTTCACTTACCCACCGAGATGACTCCGTCAGCTTTCCCCTCAAGTCATTTATGCCTCAAATCCAATCCTGAGGGAAACCACAGGCAGGCACTGAGGTGGAACCACAGAAGCTCTGGGCCTCCCTGTGCTGGAGGGACGCCATTTTGTGTTCCCACCACAGGATGGCTGCCTCTCAGGCCAGGCCTTCACCTCACAGCCTCCCCAGATCTGTGTGCGTTGGGGAGAGGGGTTGCATCTCACCTCACATACCCTATATACAAATATATATCTATGTATGATATGACATAGGTGGGAGAGATTGCTGTCAGGCCCTGGGATTTGTACGTGGTGGGTTTCAGAGGCACTGTCATCAGGACAGGTGGGGACGGCTGTGGGAAACCAGGCCTGGAGGGGAGAAGTAGGAGACACTTAACTAGCTCTGGCTTTATGGAGAAAAGTGGCTTTCCCAGGCTGACTGTTTCTGCCCCAATTGCTTCAGGTTGGCAGAGGATCCCAGGTGCCCTGTGAGGGAACTGAATGCTGTTCAGTGCTGCCAGCCGCTCCTGAGGTGGATGTAGGGTTGGTGTCCTACTGCACACTGCAGTCTTACACGTCTTTCTGCCCTCAAAAGCAGAGAATTTAAATCCATTAATTTTTTTAAAATATATTAAGCTGGCACCTCTCCTGCTTGCTCGTTTCATTGTGAGGCTTTTCAGTTCCCATTTAAGAAGAGACATCTCATCCCAGGAGCTGCAGGGCAAACTCCCTCTCCACACACAGAGGAACATGATGTTGCTAGGCAAGGTTGGTGTTAATTTAACTTTGGGAATAGCAGGAACAATAGGACTGGAAGGGGCCTTCTGGTTCATCAAACTAGTCGTCTGTTGTTAGAGGCAACTATGTTATATAATCCCTTTTGCAAATGAAGCTAGCTCTATCCTAAAGCCTTCTAGGTTATTTTTGTCCTTCTCCCTCCATGGGAAGGACCTCATTGCTGTGAGGACATCTCCAGCTGAGGAGCACCTTGCTTGCTGCAGAGCATTGCTGTCATTAATCCCAAATTGCACAGCCTGAGATCTCATCCTATTACATCTCATCTTGTTTCTAATGCTCTTATGTCTGAGATCATACAGGTCTTCCTATGGAATACTCTGGCCTTACGCATTTACAGTACTGCTCTTTGTATCACAAGCATAGTCCTACAGCAAGATCATTAATCCCACCTAATACATTTATAATCTTAACATTTCATCTAAAAAAATTTCACCATTTAGGCTTTCTTTGAGACAACTATCACCTCCTTCATATGGAGTTCGTTGGGCAGAGTTACATGGCCTGGATAAATCTATCAATTCCCATACAGGTTTGTTCAAATTCAAGGTTGGATCTGCTACTTCTGTTCTTCTATCATGTAATTTGAAGGATGATACACCCTGGGTTGGCTGAGAGATCTGTGAACTCCTGCCTTCTGGAGAGAACTTGGCTGCCACACCTTCCCGTGGCTTTTACTCAGGTCTCAGCATAGATTCCCCACATTTATAACCTTCTTTTTCTTTTGCCCTAGCACTGTGGAGATTTTTTGTCACATTCAATGTTGACTCTTTCTACACGATTTATTTTCATTCAAACTCTTGGCAGGGAAGGACAGAGCAGGAAAAGTGCAAGACCTTAGCAACTTGTTGCAAGAAAATCGAGAAACACCCCTGTTTTCTTATACCCTGACTGTCACACTGAGTATGTGAGTATTCTGGAGATGGAGGAGGGGTCCTGTTAACAAAGAGACCGGCTTCCCACTCTCTTTTTCTCGCACTTCTTAGAAGGCCTCTTTGGAGGAGGAATAATGGTCCTTTGGGACAAGCCCCCTTCTGCCAATAACCATAGGTCAAAAGTTAAAGTGAACAGAGAAGAATGAAAACCGGATAAAATACACTATAAATCTTGACATTCTAATTGAGAACTGTCCAGTGCAAACTGCAGTAGTGTGTCTGTTTTACCTCAATGCTCTACAAGAGGCCAGACTCTGCTTTCCTTAATAGCTTGGAGCATCCTACTGATTTTTACTGGGACCTCTCACTTGATTAAGACAAGCAAGATTTGGGCCTATATAGTCTCCTTGAAAAGACTTGATGTTTGATAGTTAAAATAATTTCTCTTCTGCAGGGGCAGAATGATGTTTTTGATTTCACAGTAAAGGCAAGTTCATCTCATCTTTCAGGCAGAACTGACATGACTGTGGATGTGTGTGTCTGAGGGCAGAGATTTGCAGGACAAAAAGATCTGTGGACAAATATAGCTTGTACAGCGAGTTTCTCAGTGAATAAAAATTTGCCTGAATGTAACATGTCATCTCAGATGCTTTATAGATATTTTTGCTGGCTGAAGTAAATGAGGGAGGTTTACACCTATTTTACAAACTGGTGAAATCAGTGCATGAAGAATTTGAATGACTCACCCCAAATTACACAATAACTCAGTGGCAGACCCTAGCAGACATTTTAGGAGTCTGGAGTCCCTGTGCTTGGAACACTAGCCCAAACTGTCTCCTTGGTTTCATCATTTCTGTCAGACTTACATCGCCTTCAGACACTTAGAATACATACAGATTCAAAAATAGAAGAACAGAGCTTGTTTATTCCTCTGCTTATATATTAAACATTAGTTTGCTTTCAGTGAATAGTTTTGTTGTTTACACTTTCATAGGAATTCTAATTATTGAAGCAATTCATTCCAGACTTTTGCTATTCCATCTCACAAAGAGACATACAGATACTGAAACAAAACTACCACTACTATAAGCAGACCACTGTGGTTCCCATCCTGGCAGCTCGAGAGAACAATCCTGTAATATTGGAATGAAGGAGCTTTTTATTAATGTTACACCTTGGAGCTCTTCTCTAAATAGGAGACTTTCCCAAAAACTGTATTTGAAATTACATCCCTACACCCTGAGCTAATTTTTTTTCAGCCTGGTTAGCGTCATGAAATGGATCGTGAATATGTCCTTTGAAAACGATGCCAGTTCCCTATAGCTTATACAGTATGTATGTGTTGGTGCAAAGAAAATTGCCCCTACTCTTTAGAATGTGAATGCCAGAGAAGGGAGAGGGGGTTAAGGAAGGGAAAACATATACTGGAATGTAGTGGCATAACAAATCTATCGCTAATCTTGAAAGCTCAATAGCGCATGAGTAATGAAACTAAAGATGAATTATTACGTCTTGCACTCGTAATTTACAGGTACACGTGTATTATCTTACAGCATAAATATTCCATTTATGTGTTGTGATGATGTTTTTCTTCATATAGGAAAATAAAAGTAATATCAGTCACATGTCCATAGCTTTGTCAAGTGGCTGCAAAATATTTTTCTTTCCAAGAGGAAAGCAGAGTGAATAATGCAACACTTATATTTAGGCTGTTTTTTAATTCACTGACACTTTCAAAATCTAGAAATGATTCTTTTAATTTTAAGGGCTACAGTGTCTGCTCCCTTTATTTCTGCCCTTTATCATCTTACACACCGTGTTCTTATAGACAAGGGGGGGAAAAAAAACATTCCAGTGTCTAATAAATCTGAAATCCATCAGGGGCCGCAAAGCCTTCATTCTCCTTCCTTGGTTCAGATCGTGTTACATTCAGCAGCACAACAAATGCACTTTGTGCACAAATGCCAATGGATTAAGTACTTTCGTTCACTTTTCCAGGATGGGAACTGATTCAATTTTTTTAGAGTTTTGCTAATTTCCAACAAAGAAAAGAGCTCCACAATTGATTTTCGAGCTAAGAGAAGGAACATTTGTATTACAATACATGTTTCCAAGCAGGACTTCAATACTGTTAAAGGATTTTAAAAATATATTTTATGATACCAGACTCCCATAGCATGCAAGGCTCTACCTTCAGTTTCCTGAGCTAATTTATGAGAATCTCTCTGTGTGCAAATCTCAGAATTCCTTTTTTTGTTCTTAAACCTTTTACTGCCTATAATAGTGAATTTGCACATGCTGTGCTTTCTCAAATAGGACTTTTACTTTTGTTCTTTCCTGATGCATTTCCCTAAAGTAAAATATTTTGGGAGCAAAAATAAGTATTATATTACTATTTGTGTAAGAATCTGTAGTGTGGGGCCAAATTTTTGGGCACACCAAGACTGATTTTCGAATACGTGATCTCACAGGTATGAGAGATTTGATTTCAAAAGAGCTCAGTTCACAGTTACATACATTAAAGAGAAGTAGATTAATAGGTGTCAGGCATTTTAATAGTTTTTTTCTGACCCTTGTAGACAGATTTTTTAGAAGAGCTGAGTTCTCAACAAGCTGAGTTCTTCTACAGGGTGAACCTTTCTAAAAATAAGAGCCTTTATTTCAGATACCTGCATCAGATCTGCTTCTGTAAAATGAAAACATTAATAACAAGCTAAATCATCATTAATGAATTGATTAGTGAATTATGTCTATGAAATTATGTTAAATTCACAGATGCTAACTAACATTAAAACAAATAAATAATTTTCTGGAGAACTCGCCCTTGAAGTTTAAAAGTGCTCATGAAGGTTATCTTTCAAAATGTGTTCCACACAAAAAGTTGCATTTATCAAATTCAGAGCAGTTTGCAAAGTGAATAGCAACCACTGTGCGTGGTTTTAAGGAAGAAGCAATAGTCAGCTGATGAAAGTAGAGCACCTTCATGTAGCACGAGTCTACAAGCTTGCAGCAGCACAAAAGCTGAAGAGCGGTATCAAAGAAAAAAGCAGATGGACAGACCCTCAAAAGATGGACTTTCAGTGGGCACATTCTAATCTCATCTGCTGAATCTGTGTGTACATACTTTGGGGTGTGGAGGGGATACAGTCCTGCATGAGCATTTTTGTGTGTACCAAAATTAAACATTTACATACAGACAAATTGGCAGGTTTGAAAACATCTGCACTGAGTGGTACACAAGTGAGACAGCTGTAATTGTGCCTTGGTCTCTCTCTGCTGTATTAACTTCCAGCCTTGTCCACAGCTTAAAAAGAAGACAAGACAGAGCAAGTAGTCCAGCCTGACACATCATTGGTTTTGTGCTCAACTAAATCAAGTCAGAATTCAGACCTCTTACAGTAGGTAAGAAAAATAAATGATGTCTTCCATGTTACTGTTGTCAGTCCACTGCTTTCTTCCTTTCACTGATCCATAAATGGTATTACCAGACCTGGAAGGATGCAAAAAGTTTATTTTTTTTATCCTGTTATGTCTGAACATTTTGAACTTTCAATGTATTCCTGTGCATTGTAGAGGGTTTCTTTTGCTCCAATCGGTTTTCATCAGGAGTGGCTTATCAGACATAAAAAGCTGTAAATGATTGCTGGTGTTTCGAAGCAGAAATTCTCCTTTGAAAATAACATGTTCCCAGTGCTGGCATGAAATACTTGCCTGAAGAAAATATGTTATGGTCCTTAAGAAATCATCATCAGTAACAGTAAAGCAGCAAGGAAAGAAAAGCACTGTGAAGACGGTATGGTGGTCACCCAGTTTTTTTGGGTAATCTTCTGTGTTCTGCCAGTGGTATCACTGCTTTATTTGCAAGGAGCCATCCATTTTACCCAAAGAAGGTGATCTCATTTTAAAGCAGAAGCATCTGGAGCTGCAGTCCTCAGTGTTTCTCAAGAAACGGTTGAAACTGTCAGCATTTTAGGAAAGCTAGAGGTATTGCAGCCATTTCCTATCAGATGCTGACTTTCTAAATAAGCAGAGTAACAGTACATTTGAACAGATTAGGTTAAATGTTAAACCTGACTTGATTAATGCTGATGGAAACACAATGCTCAGTACTCTATGCAAAATTACGGTTTGAATGAAAATTTCATGTTAAATAAGTCAGATTGTATCAATTTAGAACTGTTAAACGTGATACTGTTTTAACATAACATGTTTCTAAAACTGAGTATCGTTCTGAGATAAGCAGAGATGTTTCAGTCCTGTGAATTTATAAATGTTGGCATTATTGGTGTTCTTTCTTTGCACTTTTTAAATCCATTTCCATCAGAAAATTCTGTGTGGGAAAGAAATTGGGAAAAATTACTCTCAAGGATCTTGAGTCAAGTAATCTACTCAGGAATTTTGTTATGTTCATCATTCTGATTAAATAGAGAATTAAGTAGTCAACCTTTATCTATAGCTTGCTGAATATTTGTTTTGCAGTACAAAACCACAACAGAAAGCTCAGAAGGTAAGTATGTGCTTTAGCAGTGCTGGCATCCCTGATGATTCTTGTACAGTAACAGGGTAATAATAAACAGAAATGCCTTTTGAATTACAAGTTCCATTGGAATCACAGGGGGAAGGTCAGTGTTTGCCAAATTGAAGAAGACAAAACTGGCATGAAAGGAATTTTATGTTCAGGCTTCTCAGAGGGGATTAGAAGTGCTTTCTTAATAGTGACTGAAAGGAAACTAGAATGGTGTGACTGAACATACAGACATTGCCCTGCTTATGCGCATATACACCCACAGTCACCACACACAGCAGCACAAGAATCAAATGCATAAAGTTGCTGCAACTTTTTTTCATCCTTCATCTCCACATGCTAAATATATAATAAGATACCTTGTTTTCTTGGCCTGTAGACCCACATGACCAAAATGAGGGACATTAGTAAGTGTTAGAAAAAGTATTCAAGTGTGAAATGAATTTCTCAAACATTAATAAGTATTTCTAGAACCTCAGTTCCATAATTTGACAGTTCCACAGTTAATAAATCACAGCAAAAGGAAAGTGTGATAACAGCAAAGCAAAAGGAAGCCTGGATCTATGAAGTGCAACTGAGGAATAAGTGAAAGAAGCATGCTGATGACCCTGAGTTTACTTTTGGGTTTTCTGAGCTTTCACTCAATTAAATTCATTCCTCTCCTCTAAAGACCTATTATATGCCTTTACCTTGGTTTCTAACTGATTTTTCTTGTAATTCAGCTTCTTTGCCAAGTTATTTCCATGATTTAAGGAGCAATGATTAAAAAAAAAAAAAAAAAAAAAGCAACACTAAGATGAAAGGAGCATCTACAGTATATTGGAAAGGGTTTTTAAAGAGTGGGTTGATTTAATTAACTTCCTGAATGAAACAATTCGGGTCTGGAGCTGGCAATCTCCAATAATCACTCTTTGGCTTCTGTATGAAAAAAGGAGTCAATTACACAAAACAATGCAACAAAAAGGCAGTCAATGGAAGGAAGTAGTTATGTGTATTATGGCAGTATGCACAGTAAGAGGCTCAGCATCTAGAGGCTCAAAATGAGACACTCTTAAATGAGCGTCTACTGTGGTAGACACTAAATACACATTGGAAGAGACAGCCCCCTACTCCAGGGCTTATCTTCTCTGCAAGACTAGTTCCTGTTTATGTATTTTGAGCATTTCCCCTAATTCAAACTCTATCTGCACACAAAACACTAACATGAGTTGCTGTCCCAAGTTACTCAACGACCATATGCCAATGTGACCATTCTGTAACATGGACACCACTTTGCATCGCTGCTCCTGCATCTCTAATTCTTTCCCTTTGTCTCCTCCTTTGCATGTTCTGAAAAGAGGTGATTTAAACCACATTTTTCCCAGTTAGAATTAATACAGAAACTTGAGGAAGTACTCAAGGCCTTCCAGTTGCTAGTGAGCACGAAAGATAGAATATAAAAGAAGAGTGAATGGGAGAGAGAATGGCTTGCCAAAGCTCATGGAAACAGGATAGTGTGCAGATTTTTGTCCAGCTCTTGTGATAATAGAGTCCTGATATCTATTGGGACCATTGGCTGCTGCCATAACTTATATAAGCCATGGTAATAGGGAAACTTGTGTGAAAAGGGAGCATCATGAGATCATGAGCATCATGAAAAGCAGCATGAGCATGGGAAAAATGTATTTAGTTGAAGAAACAATAAATATTCCGAATCCATCTCTGACAAACATGGTTTTCTCCTAAAAGGGCCCACAAGATTTAATGTCTCACTCTTAGGAAGCCTTTCAATTCCTACAGCTTTCAGTGAATTCTGGTATATGGCGTATCTTGCTGTATCCATCTACTCTGCATGGACAGTTCATCTCATGTCCACTTATTTCTTTCGTGTCACAAGCAAAGACAGAATCATGGGGAACCTGCATTAACCACACAGTAACGGGCTTGAATTGCTGGTTTGGTTTCGGCAGGAGACTTACATAGCCCTTAGAGTCTGAAGCTCTCCCTAGAAAACCAGTTTAACTCCTGTAGACATCAATGTCTTTTAGCCTTGACAGCATGTGAATATTTACTGCAAAACAAAGGAAATGACAGTAGAGCAAATCCAGAGACATAAGTCTAGTTGTCTCAGCATTTCACCTCTCCCCATCTTGGTCTTCCCTTGCAACAAAGTGCTCACATCCTTTGCAAACACTCATACTTTAAAGGCCACAGCCCAGAAATATGTGAGTGAACAAAAAGAATTCAGCAAGATCAAGGCATTTGTCTCTCCTTGGTCTTAGTTTTGGATAATTCTGGGTCAGAATTTAATACTATGCTTTGTTCAAGGCTTTAAGGCAGATTTAGTTCTGAACAGCATGGCACATCCTCACTTCAGACGTGCATCTACTCCACTGCACCTTCAATCTATCCAGCAAAGCTCCTGGGCTTCTCCTGACCAAAGAATGTCAGTTGAGAGGACTGTGCTAAAATTGCTTCATGGTTTTCTGCTGCTGGGACAAAGAGAAAACCCTTATGATGGAGTTGAGAGTCTGAACTCTGCCACCTGTCAGTTCCACTGACATTAATGTGATAATTCTGGGTTAGGATTTGGTTTAAGAAGGCATCCTCAACCAGGTGAGCACATTAGCTGAAAAGCAAGCATATTTATAAGGTGTTACCCTGAAGCAGTTGCTTTTATTGATATAGCTCAAATCAGAGTCTGACCCACTGACTCTAAGCCCAGAAGACAGTTACTGAGTAGTTTAACCATCAAAGCAACTTGAAAATAAAGAAAATAAAACTGGCTTCTAAAAGTGAGATTTGTCTTATCACTCCTAGTGTATTTTTCACCCTACCAGAGGAATCAGTGAGTGGAGACTAAGCAGAAAGGAGTGAGAGGAGTAGGGAAGCTCTAGGGTTGTGATTTTATCAGAATGGCATATGCACCACTGCTTCATTCCGAATCATCCTATCTGTGGATTTAGCAAAAGAAATTTGAGACACTTCAAAAATGAATGAAAGTGATCCTGAATGGGAGGAAGAGAGAGAGAAAAGCTTAAAGTAAATAGCTTAAGTCAATCTATCCAAATGTCACATGTAAGGATGGCTCTGCTCTGCTTAATGACAGGAGAGCAAGAAAGGTGAGGGGGAGGAAGGGACCCTTTTGAAGGGCTGTTGTTCTAATGTACCTGTGTTTATTTTAAAAGCTTTTCAAGGAGGCAGGGAGGGAAGCTACTGTCTCTCAGCGATAAAAGTTGAGTGATTGAAGACACCATTTGGGGGCAATCTGTTCTCTGTCTGCGTAGTTGCCCGCAAAGTTCCTGATAGCTAGGTAAAGCATGCTCAGAAGAACGTTGCTGGTGGGAGAGGGCTAAGAGTCAGGACTTTATTCCTGGTGCAGAGCCCAACTCCACATGTAGGCAAGTAATGGGAAACTTCAGTGAAACCATCCATCTGCCAAGTGCGACAATGGCCTTTACTCCTAAAGAGGGATGCAATGAGGTTGCTGAATGGAAAGACTTTTTGGGTGAAAAGAGGTACAGATATATTAACTACCTGCTAGTTGAAAGAGATCAGCATGTAGAGCTAGATCCTTACTGAAGAAATCCTAATTTCTCTAATATATTTGTCCCAGTTCTAATTAAGTGTGCTGTGGGAACATCTGCACCCACCATCTTGCTGGTATGTGGCAAATAATATCATGGGTTATGGCTCCTCCGTTACAAATGGCTTTTTGCTCAGAGTCCGATATTAAATGGTTTCGGGTTGGAGTCTACTGTGCTGTTCGTGAACTACTCTGTTTTAAAAGACAAAAGCTTTTGCTTCAGTTGCTCTCATATACAGACACTGTAACCTGGCTCTTGTGGAGAAAGCTGGCTGTGGAACATCTCCCGGCAGGTTGCTGAGGATAAAGGCA